GAGGGAGGGAGGGAGGGAGGGAGGGAGGACACCCTCTGGAAAGCCAGCCCCACCCAGGTGTCCCAAAGTTGTACAGGTCTTGAATTTGTGCAGTGTAGCAATAGCTACAGTGTAGCCTCCACGAGTACTCAAGCAGAACAAGACAGAATTATCAGGGCGCTTAAAAGCTGCTTCAGCATGGACAGAGAGCGCCCTCTAGTGGTTCAATATAAGAACAGGCTCAAACAGCCAAACCCAGCTCTGGATCCTACTTAGGAGGAACACATTGTGAGTTCACTTTCTATTCCCGCCACCCCCCACCAGCCCCCATGACCCTCCCTGGTGCCATGGGCTGCTATTTGGGTGCCTGTGAGAATTCAGTGGTGCCTAACGGTATAGTTTCTATGTGAGCATCAACTCAGGCTAAAAAAAACGTGAACCAATGTTCAACTTGAACTACACTATTGAACGTTGGCTGGTTTAAGTACAAGCAAATGTCTGTTGTGTGAGGCCACAGTACGAGCCAACCTCACACTCAATCCAGGGAACCACATGCAGAATCGGCACTTGATTGTCAGCGCAAGAACTAAGTGGACCAAAATTGTGCAGAAACAGCATGCATCTTGGACACAGAACCAGCCCAGGGGCTCCTGTGGATGGCTGAGTGGCGCCCCTTGAGCAGGCTAAGCTGTGGGGGAGGGAGGGGGGTTGCTGGTTCTTGATTCCCCTGTTCCTTTAAGAGACTGACTTGGCTCTGCATGGGAGGAAACTAAATTACCTCTGAAGTCATACTTGATCCTCAGAAGTAGAGCTGGCCCCATCAAAATAAACACCATGAAATACGTGGCCGCTCCCAGCGGTCTCGCCACCAGACACGCGCGGCCCTGTTCCTCCCGCGTCAGTTACAAGGCTCGACTGTGTCTATGAGCTGCGAACTGCTTGAAGGGAGTAACCCAGGAAACCCAAGTGCATACTTGGGAAGTATCTACCCACTGAGCATCCCAGCCCCCGGGAATCCCAAGCTGAAACACTGAAGGGTTAACCCTGCTTTCTTCTAAGCTGCTGCCCCACCCCGCACCTGGGCTGAGGTTAACTTGGATAGGGTCATGGAGAGAGCATCTGCTGTTGTGTTTCAAATGAGTGGAGCTCCTCCTCCTCCGTCCCTGAGTGACAGAAAAAGAAAGAGCAGGCCCTGTAACTTCCCTGTGTGTCCCCAGGACCCCAGCGCCATGCCAAGGCCAACATCGCAGGACCTGGCCGGCTACTGGGATATGCTGCAGCTGTCTGTGGAAGATGTCAGCATGAAGTTCGATGAGCTGCACCAGCTGAAGCTCAACGACTGGAAGATAATAGAATCGCCCGAAAGAAAGGTAATGAAGTCACGTGCTGTGGTCTTGAGCTCTGTGCATGTGGGCTTCTTACTGTACAACAGCCAATTCGCCAACTTGTCCACCTATAGTTGTGGATACAGGATCAAATTTCGTGTGTGTGTGTGTGTGTGTGTGTGTGTGTGTGTGTGTGTGTAGCACATGCACAAATAGAATGGGCGTCCTGGCTGTGTGGCTAGCAGCGGGTGTCTTACTGTATCTCCAGTGCACAAACATCTCAGAGACACCACCAAAGATCCCAGCATCTATAATCTAGCTTCCTCCAGTGATAAAACCTGGCTCATTTTCATCTGACTCCTGCTTGGGTTGTATTGAGAGGACCTCCCACAGGTAAGATCTCAGATCTGGCTAAGATGACAATCTTCTATTCAAATATCCTTCCCTGGGGCATGTGGGGAGCGAAGGACAAGACAGCGCTGAAATCTTTTCAAGCAGGCTGAGGGTGTGTTCTTCCTCTAGAGCCCCATCCTTCAGTAGGCTGAAAATGGGCACCCAGTCTGAATGTCGGCTCTCTGCTTAGTGGTGACGTCATCTCAGGAGCGTGCTAGGACGCAGTCTAAGTCAGCAGGACATGCACCCACCTACAGGCTCCCCAGAGACGTCATCATGATCTGGATTTCCTACACAGATAGCGTCCATTCAACTGAGGTACAGCTAGAGGGGTAAGGGTGTTTGCCACTAAACTTGAAGCTCTGAGCCTGACCCATGACCTCCACGGTGGGAGGAGAGAACCAACTCCTACAAGGTGCCCTCTCATCTCCACAGGTTCACTGTGGAGTGAGTACACCCACACACAGGCATGCACCCATATACACACGAAATACACGTTTCTTTTATGAGGCTCCAATCAGATGTAGCTGTATATGCCTGAATTCCCAAAATTGAGAAGCTGAGGCAGGAGGATTATAGGTTTGTGGCCAGCCTAGAATAAATAGTGAGACTCTGTGTCCAAATGAAATAGAACAAAGTTGCCAGGAAAATAGACTAATAATAGTTAAGGGAAGTACTGTTTAATGTGTGAGCGAGAATGTGGGTAGCTAAGTGATTGGGATGAAAGCCAGCGAGGGCACACGCCTCACTGTTTGGACTTCCTCAGAGACACGGCTGGTAATCAGTGGGGCTTAAAGCCAGCAGCCGTAGATGTCCCTGAGAGCAATGAACAAACTCCTCCCACCAAATAATGGGAGGGGTGTGGGAACACTCCCATGATTCTGAGGGCCATTAGAAGATGGCCCAAGAGTGGAATGTTGAAAGCAGTGCTCCCCAATCCAGCCCCCATGCAGGCAGCTGCCCCTCTGGGACCGATGGGCAAGCAGAAGCCCCCTGGAACAAGTCTCCTGGGAAATATGTTCTTGCTCAGGACACTCACCCCAGTGCAGAGTGGCAGGTTCACACCTTAAAGGAAAGCTTGCCCCTTCTAGTAACTTCTGAAGACAGAGTCCCAAGCTTTGCAAGGCTCCTATTTCCCCCTGCCCCTCTGCTGCAGCCTGTGGGCTCTGAAGCCCCTTGCACAGGGAGCTCACGGGGAGTTTTTCTGTCACAGGCGTGCAGTTCAGAGCCCCAAGAAAGGAGGCGAGAGATGAGCAGCTGTGTGCTTCATGAGAGAGTTACATTTCTTAAGTAGCTTAAGAAGTCGGGAGTGGGCCATGACTTCCAGCCTCGGGAAGAAATGTCAGATACCGAGACAGCATCTCGCTTTTGCCAGCATGCCACTGTGGGCATGGGCACACACTACCCTGCTTCCGGGACCAAACGCATCTCAAGCCTGAAGAGTCAGGCGAGAGCTCTCTGCTTAGGCAGGAGGAGTCTCACAATGTCCAGGGTAGGTCCAGATTTGCCTTCAGGAATACTGTCACAGAATGCAAGCTCTTCACTAAAGAGTTTGCGAGCCTTCTGCATTATGTGTGTTTCCAGTTTGTCCACGTTATCTCTCTGGAGATGCCTGTGTTTTTGGATATGAATTGTTTGCGCCTCAAAGCTGATGGAAATATCTGCATAGATGTGTAATTATGAATGTGCTCACAATAAAGTCAGTGTGGGTTTAGGCTCATGGTTGAGAAGTTGGCTGAGGGACCTATGGGGCTCCTGCCCACATAAAATCGTTTTCGTGAGCATGTATCCTGCCCCACAAACATCAGGCAACCACGTCCACATTCCCTCAAGACGCTCACTACCACTCAGGTAGGATGCTGCTTTGGAAAGTATGGGGCTGAGGGTGCACTCCAGTTTGCCAGAGCTAGGGGAATGTCTGTGTCCAGGTGCCGTTTATTTTCTTAATTTGTAGATTCGGCCCCAAACACCTCAGTCTCCACTGAAAAATTAGAAAGTTTAGAAAGGTGACCCCCCCAAAAAAATAAATAAGGAGTGGTGTAAGATGAAGCTGCCTCGTTGGGCATCAGTGGAGGGAACTTGGCAGGGGCAGGGGATCAGACAGAAGCTGGATGAACCAGGACTCCAGAACTCAGCATTTAGGGTCCTCCCCTCCACCTTCCTCTGACCACCTCATGGCTTGCCCTCCCTTCTCTCCCACCTTGCCATGGCCCCTCCCGTCTCTCCTCTGACCTCCTTCTGCTTCCCCCATGACCTCCCTCCCCTCCCCTCAGGACCGCTCTCCTGATGTTCCCCAAGCTCCCCTCTGGCCTTCCCCACTCATCTTTCTCCTCTCATCTTCACTTGCCTCCATGACCTCTCCATGACCCTCTCTGACCTCTGACCTCTGTGACTTGTGATGCTTTTCAGGAAGAAAGGAAGATCCCCCCTCCAATACCAAAGAAGCCCCCCAAGGGGAAATTCCCCATCACAAGGGAAAAGTCCCTGGACCTGCCAGACCGACAGCGCCAAGAAGCCCGGCGTCGGCTCATGGCAGCCAAGAGAGCCGCCTCCTTCCGCCAGGACTCGGCCGCCGAGAGGGCCGACAGCATTGAGATCTACATCCCCGAGGCCCAGACTCGGCTCTGAGGGCCAGAGGTGGCCACACGCGCCCGGTTTTGTTCCACTACGCGAAACACTTGTACAGTTTATTGCCTACCTGGTAGTTTCTGTCTCACCCTCCACCGGATTCGCCCTTGCCGTGTTCTCTGCACCGTAGACCGTGGACGCTCCGATTCCTAGTTTTGCTGAGCTCATGGCAAGATCGACTCGGAAGGACATCGGCGCTGACGAACGGGCTTGGTGAGCCCCGACTTGCCTCCCTGTTCGCAGAGGGCCACCTGGTGGCCTCTGGAGATGGAACCTAGCTTTCTCTTTGTTATTTATATTTTTATAAATTGTGTGGTAACTAGAGGTCACTACAAACGGGTGCATCTCCCCACTCCGAGAGGCATTAGACATCCAAGTGGAAGGTGCTACACTTCGAAGGGCAGGAAAGACAGACAAACCTGTTCCCTCTCATCTGAGTTACTGTCCCCAGCTGAGCTGTCCCAAGCCCCTGCTGTCCTCACTAGCCCTGCCACCCCAGGAAGCACTGGGTTCCTTGGCTGACATTTGTGATGACAGAAAAGGGTCTCTCCAATGTCCCCACCATGTGTTTTTCCAAAAGGAAATGACAAGGCTAACCCACCCCCCAAAAAAAATCTAGCATAGAATCTTAATTTATATTCAAAGCTAAGCTGAATGTTCCCCTAAGAGAGGGACCCCTGGAAAGGGCTGGCAGGAGCCCAGAGAATACAGAGAGGGGAAAAACTAAGAAGTGGTCATTTTTATCCCTTCGTAACTCAAACCATTACACATAGCATTTTTTAAGAGTTCGCTGCCTACGCTCCATGTGCTTTACCCGTATGTCACATGCGTCCTCAACCTGCTATCACTTGACTTTCCCAGGGCACCTTGACAGGAGTTTGCTTGTTTCTGATGACAGTTGTGATGTTGTAAGCCGTATAGGAACTATGAATGTGAGTGGTAAGTATATCAGTTAAAATGGTAAAGAAGAAAAAAAAAAAAAAAGACTAGTTTATACTTGTATTTTTCCAGAGTTCTTTTGGTCCTATGCAGTACTGCTGAAGTTAAGAATATATTTCTTGCCTGTGTTAGACGGGAAGGGGGTGGGGGAAAGGTCATGCATGGGGATTTCCAACTGTGGAACTGAAGGAAGGTTATCAGTAGTCATGACTCAGAGGGTGCCGAGAAGGGAGAGGTTGGCTCTGATTAACCGGCTTCGGGTAGATTATATTTACGTGCTCAGAGCCATCAAATTGCCCGTGGCCCTGATCTCAGAGTTCTTTGTTGTTCAAGTCCAGGCAGGGTTCCACCCCATCCCAGGTCTTCCCTCCTAATGCGTAAGGAGCACCAAGCACTTGGCCATAGGAGCAAAGCTTTCGACACCCCTGTCGTACTTTGTGTTTTCCCAGTGGCTCGCACTTTAAACCGTCCCCAAGGTCCCCTCTGGTCACTGCGTGGGTACCCAGCGAGGCAGCCTTGCAGCTGGGGCGTTGCTAAGACGACACCGGCCTCTTCCTCATCCTCTACATTCACTACGCATGGGTGGGCACGGTTGATGTTACAGCATGTCAGGCCTCAAAGTTTTACTTTTTTATAAAGCTGAGTAGTTAAGAATCCCCTGTAATAGCAAAACCCTATAAACCGAGCCTTGTATCTGGTATATATTTTACCAAACAGCCTTAAAATATATTTGGACGCAAAAATCATACGAATGTATATCCTTTAAAAATGCAAAAAAAAAATTCCCCAAAATATTCTTCTATCACTGAACCCTGTTTCCCCAGAGTGTTCGAAGCATTTTCTACCTAAATAAATCATGTAAATCCTGAATAGCATTCAACAGTGATGCTCCCTCCTGTATTCATGCCACCGTGTTTTAAAAAAAGAAGACTAGATCGTAAGCACTGTTACTTGCGATTTGGAAAGTGGTGTATCCTAGAGGAACAATCTAGAAGGAATCAGAGGCAAGCAGATCTGATGTCCATCTCCTAGCTGAAGGAAATGCAGGCTGCAAATGTCCCTGCTGCCCACACCCATGAGGCTGTCTGGCAGCCGTTCCTGTCGTTTCCTCAAATGTACACGGCATAGGTAGAAACAAATTGTAACACTAGACAATCATTATTTGTCTTAAACCCAGAACTCTATGGACCCAACTTGAACAAAGTATCCATTAGATTTTGGTTAATTATGTTGCCTATATTCAGTCTTCACCTGACCGCACCCAAAGTCTTTGGCCTACGCTTCCCCTTGCTAAACAAATCTCCCTTCCCTGAGTTGCAGGGTGGCCCCTCTTTGAAGTGGAAAAAAAGAAAAATATGTGTCCCTATCTGGTTTACTCGGTTCCAAAGATTATTTAATGACCGAACCAACACCTGCTGCTAGTTCTGATGGCGTGTTAGCTGTTCGCGTCCCCTCGTAAGTGCAATGCCTTCCTTTCTCCTGCGGGCGACACTGCTGTGGAACCAGATAAGCCATGTTTACACTGCAGCATCCAAGCCAAGGCAGACTGCGTTGGTCGCGTGTGCATGCCGCCCCTCCAGCTCCTTTATTCCGGTTGCTTTCAGGAGGGTTTTGGTGTGGAGTTCTCCTGTGGTCCTCTCATCTCATCCAAAACAGGACATTAATGAAAAAAAAAAAAAAAAACTGGTACAGAGATATGGTTGTCACACGGCGCCGTCCGTGTTACCTGTAACAGCCACCCATGTTCCTAGAGATGCCACCAGCAGTTGGAGAGACTTCCTCACACCGGCAGGCTGTTGTGGACTCCACTGTGGGAAGCACAGCTGGAAAGCAGGACCAGAAGAAAAAGTGCAACTGAGGAACAAGAGGATCGGGAACTTTTCCAGGCGTCTCCATTTGCTCCTGTTGTGATCATGGTTCCTATATATTTTTATCACCACCCTAGAATGTTGTAGAAAGGAGCCAACTTATTTTATACCCAGAAAGCACCTTGCTGGAAAGGAAATGCCCACACTTTTAAGCCACATCTGAAGGCTTCAAGCATTTCATAGGAAGTAAATCCTTGTTAAGAAAAAAAAATACAAATTATTTCTGCCTGTGTCAGAAAAATCGACAAAACCACAAGCTGCAAAGCAGAGGCGCTCTTGCAGCCAGCCTTTATGGAAAGGTCCAAGGTATGACTAGAACAATAGAGTACACAAGGCATATGATGGATCCTGTTTCTTGGGGTGTCTCTCTCAGTTCACCCCATCTTTACTTCTGCCTTTTGTTAGCATATTGAGCAAACGCTGTTTTTAACCACCCTAACTTAAATCTGACGCCTCTGCGCTACCCATCCCAACCCCAGGACCCCAGGTTGAGATATCTGCGGTGAATACGGTGACACCATGGACACGTGGCCCAGTGCCTGTAGCAACCATAGAACTCCTTGCCTTAGAAACCGCTGTCTGGTTTGGGCCAACCTTTTGTTTGTTTGTTTTCTTTTTGAAGACAGAGTCTCACTGTGTATAGTCCAGGCTAGCCTCAGATTTTCAACTGTTCTGTCTCTTTCTCCTGGGTGCTGGGATAACAGACACGCACCATCATACCCAGTCTTGGTCCAAAACTTTGGGCAGCAGAGATGGGGTACAGTGAAAAAGAGACACGGGCTGAACTTAGTAACTGATTGTGGGATAATCAGGTGTGAGGCAGCCTTCTGGTGTCTCTGAAGAGCTGGAAGCCAGTCACCTTCCGATGGGCACACAGGTCAGGTTTCAGCTGCTTTCTCCTGCAGACTCAGTCACCTTGCTCAGGTTCCCCGGCCACAACTCCAGGACGTCCACATGGACAGAAGCTGACACGCGGCGGTTCAGATAGACTCAGGCTAACGAGTTATCAGGACTGTACCTGCTGATGGCAGAGGAACTCCCTCAGCTATCGGAGGGGCAGCAGCAGTCCCCTAAGGACCTGTATCTGGCTTGAAGGAAGCGGACTGTCTGGAGCAACACTGGGCATAGGAGGACACTGAAGCTGTGCTCACCCACCAGCTACAGGCTTGAATCACAGAACACAGACATGCGTCCCCAAGTCACAGGCCTTTGTGTGCTCGCCTCGCCCCGCCACTTTCTTCTCCAGCCGTGGGTGTCTTCGTGTTATTACTGCAAATTTAACGTATCGCTACCCTCATAGTTACCCGTATCATTTTTGTAGTTTTCAAACTATGCTCGCAGGAAGTTTTAAGGCGTTTCTTTTTTTCTGCCCACTCACCGTTTATACATCTAAGTAGGTTTGGTTCAAACGCTGGGGTTCAAAACCAGTAAACCGCAGGCTTAAGAGATCAAGACTATAATTGCCTCTGATTTGCAGTGGCCTCAGCTGCACTGGTGAGCCGTGAACTTTGCACTAACTTATCCCATTGCTGCCCATCAACGAGCGTGCCACATCAGCCGAAGAAGTCATCCCTGTACCCTGGTGCAGCCTGTGCTGCCTGGGGGGAGTTGAGCAGAGAGGTGCAGCCAGCTGAAGGCGGTGCACTTCCCTGTCAGGCTCAATGCCCTCTACACAGAGTAGCTGCAGGAAGTTTGGGACGTCAACAAGAAGGTGCCGGAAGCCCTGAGGCCCAGCCAAGCTGCCAGAACTTATACCTGCAATGGCTAGTAACCTGTTTTTACTCAGGTCCCCCCGTTTTCCATGTGGCATTAGTGTTACTTTCCCTACCTCCCTCACAGACACACATAATGTAAGGATGGGTGACATACAGCCTCCGGCATCTTAGAGCTTAGAGGTCTATAGTGAATGTGTATTGTTTGGAATTTATGCTCTGACTCCATATGTGTTTTGTGGCCCCACTCTGTGCTGGAAGCTGGCAGAGCCAGCGAGGGCACAACAGGCAGGGATATTTGCTTTAGGGTCCTGTCCTGCGTAGGCAGGAGGTCAAACAAGGATGCAGAGAAGCACAGATATGGAACACAATCACCAAGGACTTCTTTTTCCTGCTGGCTGTGACTTCAATTTCTCTACCCACCCATGAACAAGAACCAATACCACCACCGAGAACTGGGCTATGTCCTCACCATCCCGTC